TCACAGGGAAGCAATGAGTCATATAAGCATGTCCTGCGAACCGTAATCACAGGGAAGCAATGAGTCATGTGAGTATGTCCTGCGAACCGTAATCACAGGGAAGCAATGAGTCATATAAGCATGTCCTGCGAACCGTAATCACAGGGAAGCAATGAGTCATATAAGCATGTCCTGCGAACCGTAATCACAGGGAAGCAATGAGTCATATAAGCATGTCCTGCGAACCGTAATCACAGGGAAGCAATGAGTCATGTAAGCATGTCCTGCGAACCGTAATCAGTCGATAACAAGCCTCGGGGAGCGCCAAGTCCACTCACACTTGCTCTGATATTTGATAACGTTGATGAGGATTGTCATGAGAGTGATGAAGGTCGTAAGGATCGTTGTAACAAGGTCTCGTGATCATGATGATTAATCACGATGATTTTAGATAATCATGGGAATGTAAAATAATCATGGAAATGTGAAATAATCATGGAAATGTAAAATATCATAATGTAAATAATCATAGGTAAAAATCATGGGAATGTAAAATAATCATGGGAATGTGAAATAATCATGGAATGTAAAATAAACACATGGAAATGTAAAATAATCATGGAATGTAAATAATCATGGCAAATGTAAAATAATCATGGAAATGTAAAATAATCATAAATAATAATAATGGGAATGTAAAAAATAATCATGGAATGTAAATATAAATCATGGATAAGTGTAAAGATTTAACATGGTAATGTGAACCAATACCATAATTGACCCAGCTGAAACCAGGACAACAGGAAATGGGTCTGCCTGGGTGCTCTCACCTGCCAGCCGCTGAAAGTGCCATGACTCGACACTTTTTCCCTCGTCGCGTTCAGTTATTCATGTGCAATTATGGACTTTTTTTGCCGGATTTAGTAGCACTATTTTTTTTTTTTTTCTTTTTTTTTTGCCCGTCCCGCATATAAACTGGGCTTTCCCTTATAGGCCAAAGCTTAAATCTTTGTCACTGTATCTATCTATCTATCTATCTATCTATCTATCTATCTATCTATCTATCTATCTATCTATCTATCTATCTATATATCTATCTACCTCTCCATCCATCTATCTTTCTATCTACCTATCAAAATATCTATCGATCCATCTATCTATCTATCTACCTATCTATATACATATCTATCTATCTATCTATCTACTTATCTATCTATCTACATATCTATCTATCTATCTATCTATCTCTATCTATCTATCTCATATCTTATCTATCTATCCAACTATTTATCCATCTTTCTCCTTCTCTCACGCCATTTCACTCACCCCATCTCCCATCCTCTTCACACGCTCATTAAACCGAGAAATATCACAACAAAATCAGACATCAGTTCCAGATGACTTGATCTCTCCCCCTGCCTTCCCCTTCCCTCTCTCAAGTGGTGTCAAGTGTCCTTATCGACGCCCTTTTCACACTTGTCACTTATCAGAGTCGAGGGCGGGGTGGGTGGTAGCAGGAAGGGCGACAGGAGGCTGGAGTGCGAGCTATGGGGGGTATGTTAAGTGGAGGAGGAACTGGATTCGTCTTCTGTCGAGTCGTCTGGAGGAAGGTTCATCACGAGGAGGAGAAAAGGGCGTTGGGAAAGGATGAAAAAAGGTGTTAAGAAAAAGGGGAATAATGAAAAAGTGTTGGATGAGAGAGAGAGAGAGAAGAAAAAAAAGTGTTGGAAGAATTAAAGAAAAAGGAAAAGTGTTGGAAAAATTAAAGAAGGAAAAGTGTTGGAATATTTAAAGAAGGAGAGGTCTTGGGGAAAAAATAAGGAAGGAGAGAATCTAAGAAGAGCTGTTGGAAAGGGAAATCAAGATGAAACAACAAATAAAAGTATCAGGAAAGATAAATAAAAGACAAAAAACGATGAAAATAAATATAGGATACTGAGGAAGGCTTCTTGCAATAAGCAGAGGGGAAAATGTTGCTCAATTGCTAACAATAAAGGTAATACGATTGCAGAGTTAAAAGTAAAGATGTTGGACAAGAGGCTTTGCAAACATGGGGTCCTTATGCTTTGCAGAAACTATTTTGCCGACGAGGAAAAGAAAAAATGAAAAAGAAAATTCATTAACAGACAAATAAAATTCAGCAGATGAGGGAATAAGGACCTCCAACCCCGTCATTATGAACGTGGCTTGTCAGTGGAGGATTACCAAGAAGATAACAGACATCTTGACACACGCTCAAGGGCTGGGAAGGGGAGAGCCTATGTTGCTATGGTGAACCTATGTGATTATGTTGCCGGAATACAGCATAGTCGGAGGAGGAACCTAAATGAAATTGAATCACACGAGGAGGATCGTCGAGATTAGAGATGAGGGACGAATAACGAGACAAGAGTTATGGATCTTTTGTTTATTACAATGTGTTTGAGATTATGGTGAGAGAGAGAGAGAGAGAAAAAAAAAAAAGGTTTTGTCTTACCAAGGCTCGAGTTGTTCTTTGGGGAAATTAGATATTCCCCTTATGGAGAATCCCAGTCAAAAAAAAAAAAAAAAAAAAAAAAAAAAATCGGAGAATTCTTTAGCACAAAGGGGTGGCCACGAAAATTGACGAAATGTAAAAAAAGCGAAGAAAAGAAAATTGGAGTCCATATATTTTGAGACAAGTATCAAAACATTGCCAGATTCGGGTTCCACTGTTCGTAAGTGTACTAGCGCTGTAGATGGCACAAAATCCACTTGAGAGATATGAACAGCAAAGAGTCGCTGCTAGACCACTGAGCTACCACTTCGCCATAAAGAGTTTAACAAAGTGGAAACCCATCTATCCTCAACAGAAGGTGGGAAGAGGAAGAACCACGCAATTAAGAGAGAGCAAAAAAAAAAAGAAAAAAAAAGAAAATATATATAGGCCTGATCTGCTAGTTTTTTTTTTTTTTTTTTTTTTTTTTTTTTACCCCAAAGGCAGATCGCTTTCCTCACAGCGCTGGCAGGAGATTGAACCCTTAAGATTACTTTTGATTAATAGTCATACTACAGTGCTCGCATATCAAAAAAATAAAACAAAAAAAAAAAAAAAAAAAAAAATTGTTTCTAGGCCAGGGTGGGATGGAGGCGTGCAAACAGGGTGGATACAGGAGGCGAGAGGAGTAAGAAAGGGTGGGAGGTCACAGAAGAGGCAGAAGAGAAGGTACAAGATGCGCGGTGCTACANTCTGCTAAATGCCATGACATTTCTTAAGCAGAATATCAAAGTGTATGAACCTTGGGCAGAGGAAAAGCATAATGCCAGTTGGAAGAGTTATAAAATTCAAGATAAATGTCCATTGCTCTTGATAAACTAATGAATGATTGCAGATAAAATGTTAGGGAAAAGATATACTAAAAACCAAAATGCTACATGGTGTATTGGGTGAAAAGAACTTGTACTGAAAGGGATCAACACTTTGCCCTCTTCATGACACATCAAAAACAAAGCAACAACAGATTGAATTATATCACACCTGTACTGTTGTATCCTCGCATGCAGGCGATACTATCCAACTGTTGCATTTATATTTCTACATGCACCTTGAAAAATATGACATGTGCCTTGGCCAAGTATAAAAGAAATATTGCTATTGAAATGGAAAAAATATATAAATAATTCAAAACAATTGTGTTAGAAGCAGGCACGCACGCACGCACGCACACGCACACATTGTTAATACACACAAGTTTGTTTTTGACAAAAAATGATGTCAAATAGAACTGGAATCTGTATCGTTATTTTAACATAATATCAATGGCCATTTTAAAATAAACAAGTATCATTATCACAGTCCACTGATTGGGACAATTACTATATTGACTTTGATTTATAAACCGATTGTATTAAAGCACGTTAATGCAATGGTTTCGGGGCGTTAGTTGTATTTTTCAAAATTACTCTTACATTTCCAATAAGACTGGTCTTGTTGCTATGTAAATAACAGGCATGCCCATCTTTTCAAATACCTTTTTTGTTAACAGAATTTTGAGTGATAAACAATTCTAACACAATTGTTTTGAATTATTTATATATTTTTTTCCATTTCAATAGCAATATTTCTTTTATACTTGGCCAAGGCACATGTCATATTTTTCAAGGTGCATGTAGAAATATAAATGCAACAGTTGGATAGTATCGCCTGCATGCGAGGATACAAACAGTACAGGTGTGATATAATTCAATCTGTTGTTGCTTTGTTTTTGATGTGTCATGAAGAGGGCAAAGTGTTGATCCCTTTCAGTACAAGTTCTTTTCACCCAATACACCATGTAGCATTTTGGTTTTTAGTATATCTTTTCCCTAACATTTTATCTGCAATCATTCATTAGTTTATCAAGAGCAATGGACATTTATCTTGAATTTTATAACTCTTCCAACTGGCATTATGCTTTTCCCTCTGCCCAAGGTTCATACACTTTGATATTCTGCTTAAGAAATGTCATGGCATTTAGCAGACACAGAATCCTGGTACATTTCAGAGCATGCACACCCAAAAGATATTCTCAGAGCAATTGCCCTAAAATGCATTAATTTTTTTTTGCTAGATCAAACTTCACTCTATGACAAGTTCACGTTAACACACTACAATCTCATGATAATACAATAATGTGAACATATCTGAGGGTATCTTTAGATGCACATACCTTTATTTGAAACAAGATTAAGAAGTCTGAATTAGCATTTCACAATTTCAAACTCTTATTGAAAATAATGTCTTTTTTCCTTAATCGTGGTGAAATACTTAATTCTGTGTTGGTCATTATATATAATGAGTTTTGAGAATTCGCTGGTTACTTAATACACATGATAGACCAAGAGTTGCATAAAGTGGGTTTGTTATTTTCTTAAAAGTAAAGCTCTCTCTCACAATCTTTTCTTTGGTTTCATACTCAAAGGAAGTAATTACAAATTTCTTTACACGACATCACTTAGTTTTATGAAAGTTTTATTATATTTTTCTTAGTAAAGTAAGGGCAAGTATTTGCAAAAAGAATACATGAACTTTGAACTTTTATTGGTATTTGTGATATCTTATCACATTAGTATAAAATATACTTTATCTTGGCTGCAGCAGAAGTCAAAATACTTTTATTGGCACTAAAGTTTCCTTGTGCAAAAGACAACTTTGTGATATGAAAATAATAATAATAATTAAAAAAAATTCCACTGTATATTAAAAATATCTAATTAATGTTCAACATATATGCTGGCAACAAAGATAATACATATTGTCACTTTTTTATGCAAAGAGCATGAAGAAAAATCTCTAGTACACACAAGAAATGCTATTAGTCATAAATATTTTTATCAAACATTTCAAGGAGAAATGTTTATTTTAGTCCAGGTAAAAGAGCATGAATTGTCCTCTCTTATGAACAACCAACCTCTTATGGACACAGCCACGGAATGCAAACAGTATTTAAAGGCAAAAAATTGGACGGAATGAGTTGCTTTGAGGTACCACTGGAATATTCTGGACAAAACCTCATCAAAGACACTTAGTTTGCTAAAACACAAGACCGACAGGTAGCCAAGAAAAATATTGGCTCAAAGAAATACAACTACCATCTATTTCTATAAAAAGAAAGAGAAAGAAAAAATCTGATACCTCAGTGAATACATCTGGTCTTGACTCCATACTCATTATGCAAGTCTAGCACAGAAATACATATTAATCGTAATCCAACTTTTCTGAAACCAGTGCTGCTTTTATCCAGCTCAGAGTTGTTTTCAAGATTATGTAACAATACATAATTATGAAAATGTTAAGTAAAACATCAAAATATCACCACCTTCTAGGATTGCCATTCAAGTTCACCTGTGAATGACTGGAAAGTTCCTTTGGTATGCAGTCCCTAACAATGAAGTACATATAAGAAAAAATATATAAAAAAAATGGTGCTACACCTTACAGTGAGAATTCAATGGTGGTTATAATTGAACTACATTGAGCATAGAACTAAAACAAATCACTACCAAAATTATTTTATGCATAGTTAAAAAAAAAGAAGAAAAAAAATCATTACAATAAAACATAGACTTGGACTCATCTTGGTCATTTTTCAAAAGAAAACACTCTGTGCGTGTTTGCTGTAGCATCTCTCTTCACTGAAATGTACTATGGTTTTCCAAAGAACAAATCCTGTATAATATTCTGAGAAACACTTCTTAGAAAGATGGACAGGAAATGTACCTTCCCTTCCTTCTGAGTCAAGTACTGGGGAGGGGAATATGCAGACAGGCTGCAGTGTGTGTTCCTTGGCAACAATTAACTAAGCTCTAAAAGGCTGCTTAATTCTTGGTTCCCCCTTCAAGTGTGAAAACTCCATGGCTTTGGCGATAGGACTCCTTTCGCTTCTGGATGCGGTACTCAACCCAGAAGAGAACTGCTGCAACAAATTCTGCTACAACACCCACCACAGCTGAAGGATGATATGAAACTTAGACACATTATAGTAAAAAGATACATTTAATATAAAAAAATAAATAAATAAAAATCCTGTGATCCACATACTTGTATGCAAAAAGTAATTCTGCTTTAGTTTATGAGTAATTGCAAAACTTAGAAACTATACTCACCGAGACCAAAGGACCAAGAGAGATGATTGTGGTCCCAATGGGGCATCCAATCACGGTTGTCACCCATAGCTCCAAAGACTATCACTGCGATAAACCCAAAGAACCCTGTAATGATGAATAATGATTAGCAACTTACATTGGGGTTATTACTTTGTAAATGAATAACAGTTACCTGCACATGAACTAAATGTAGGACTAACAATAAGCATGATCATTATAAATAATTAAGAATACACACATACATTCCTCAAAACAGCAACAAGCAATGAGAAACTTATTAAAAACAAAAACTGACTGAGGAGTCTGCTGTATCCCAAAGGCAGACTTGCGTGTCTTTCCATACAGCAAAAATTCCACATCCATCTGGAGCCAGAGACTTACACGAGATGAAGAGGTCAATGTAGGCCAGCTTCAAGACATATTTCTCAAAATCTTCACCAGGACAGAGGATGAGAACACCTGTGAGGCCAGCGCCAAGTAGTGATAACGTGAAGCAGAAGGTGTAGAAGACTTGGACTGTGACAAAGAATGCTGCAATGCAAAAAATTATATATTAGTGCTATTTAGTGTTTTTAAAAAATCAATTTTACAGGTTATCTTTTATTAATTTGTTTATATTATCCATTTGAAGGGGCATTCACAACATAGTGCTATATATTTCTAACTTTGGCAAGAAAAATGTAATCTATGAGACATGATTAAAATGGAAAAAAGAACTCAAATTTAATATTCTAGTTCAAATAGTATGGGTAGAATCATAATAAAGTGTATAAGGTAGGTTGATGGCACAATATGACAGTGCTTTTATACACTCTACTATAAAAGATTAGATCTATGACCACTTTCTTTCCACTAGGTTTATTTTTGCAAAGTGTTTTGTTCATGTTTCTAAACTTCCCTACAATTTATGGTTTCTGAAACAAATTTAATTTAAAATCAGCGCTAATCATAAAAAAATATACCTAAAAGGAATACCCATGTTGAAATCCTTTCACAACTATTCTTCAAACTGAAGGATTTCTCCTTTTTCACTTAATGCCACTAAATAAATCATCTTTAAAGTCACTTTATTAGTCACTGCTTCAAGTCCAAATGTCTCTATGTTTGTGACTTCCTGTTTCTCATTTCACAAAGCACACTAGACATGCAAGATGACAAGGTCAAAATGCATCGATAAAGAGGGGGGCGAGCCTAACGGAACCCTTAGATGAAAAAGATGAGCTCTGCAGAGGAAGGCACTGCCTGAGACTTACGTGACTGCAAGTCTGCCTGGACGTCCTCGTACCCCGTAGTGAAGGGGTCGAAGATCCAGCGACACCCTACAAAGAAGCGCTCTTTGTGCACATCCTCCCGCGTGGTGTACGACCTGAAACACTGCGTCCATAGGCCCACGCTCTCCACGGCCGTGCCATAGGCCTTGTTCTCGGCCTGGAACCAATATGTCGTGAACATGCTGATGCAAATAAGGACGAAGGCCAGGACGTGGAAGCCGATGGCCCACCATCCTGCCGTGGTGCGACGGTCTCTTGGGGGCACCACCATCTTTGTTGTGGTGAATCAGCTGGGCAAGCAGAGGAGAGGCAGCCCGAGGTGCCTTTCGTCCACCCGCGCCACACCCTACTCACTCAGGGAGAGTTTACCGTTTAGGTCTCGAAAAGTAATCGGTCACGGTCGTTTTCCACGTCGGCTGATAATTCTGACTCCAACTGCTGTTCTTTCACAACAACACGAGGAGAGCCTCTACACAACGTTCCTCGATTTCCTCGGCCGCATTTCCCCTTCACACAATCGCCTCCACGTTCTTATTACTTTACGGGATCTTTCCACTTTCGAGTATCACTCCACTGTTCCGTCGCCGCCAACGCCGCCTGGGAAATGGTCCATCTACTCAGAAGCCCTCGCAAGTCCTTAGAAACACGAAATTTTGGAAAACAGTTAGGAGTCGCCTCTCCTTGCGGACTGCATGTTGTGTTGGGTGATGTCGCGTACCTGTCTAGCCTCGCTCGGGCCCCCTCACCTGTGACTCACCTGGGGAGGGGTGTGGCGGTACCTGGGCGGCCTGGACACTTAAAAATATCAGTCTTGTCGCGGAGAATTGTTTTTTTTTTTTCCAATTTGGTTCTTGAATTATTAGTTTTGCGATGGAGAACAAATGAGTGCCAACGCAAACAGTCTTCAAAAACACTTTTAGTAATTTTTTGCACAAGGAATGCATGAATGTGGCTGGCTTTTGATTCACAGCATGGACTTCCACACTGCCGCTAAAACGCACACAATTCCAATGTAAGCTCCATAATAGTGTTATAAGAATCAGCACAATCGAAATTCGATAAATTCTGGCGCGAAGCATGGGACGGAGATGTGGCAGCCACGCGGCGGCGGGACGGGCGTTGGCCGTCAAGCGCGAGGATTTGAACGCGTCGCCACCGCCGCTGCTGTCATAATACCTGGTCGTGGAGGGTACCTGCGCAGCTCGGCATGACGCTTGCACTATGGCTATCGTCTACTGTTTCTTCTTTTGCATACGCTTTCCCTGTTCTCAATTATTAACAGGGATTCGACTATACCTCTGTTCTCAATAATTAACAGGGATCTGACTATTTTTTAAAGCTTTTGTACGTGACAGACGTAGAAGCGGGGTTAGCAGAAGGAATTTTCCCGTAGGATATTGATAACGAAAAATCGCCAAATGTAGTGCGCTTTCGCTTTCTCCTGGAAACTATGTGGTGGCCAGCAGCGCTCCATCGCTTTCCACATTTCACTGTGCAAATCCATCACTGATAGAATCACCGCCCTGATCCTCAACGGGATTTTCTTCAGTTGTCATTGTAGCTCATTAATGCCCCCCCCCCCCTAAGGAGATGGCGCCGAATAAGGCATAGAGTTTCCTCTGAATGTTCTAAATATCCCCGCCTGTCCTGAATTAGACTTAGGGAAGCTGAGGAACGACGGTGATAATCGTAGAGATTTTGATTTTAGGTGGTCCTGGCATCATGGTTCAAGACTTTTTCTGTCAGCGTCGCGTCAGTCTAATCTGCCGACTATTAGCAACCACTGCGTCTGCCATTATATTCGCAGTTTATCACAACCACACTATCATTTTCTTTATTAGGATTACCAGTACCTAGTGCCAAAAATTATTGATGCAGCCGTGACGTCTCAGTTTCCGTGACCAAATTTTCAAGAGTGAGGTTTTCTAGCATACAGTTTCTGATGTTAATATCCGGTCAATTGTCCCATAGGGATGCTGGCGAAGACTTCCTTGGCAGGAATCGTCTTTCATTCTTGGGCTTACCACGACGGTTGAACAGATCAAACCAGCTTTATATGAAACGAACTTATCACGCGATTTTATCAAACTTCCAAATATTTCATGATATAGGTACTGACACCTGTTCAATATATCTTGCACGCACAC